GGATAAGAAAGGGATCCGCTGGTGGGACTGTAATCTAAATTACATTGCCAGAAAACTGTTTGGGTCCAAGTTTACTTCAGGGCATAGTGTGCTTTTCACGGTTACGCTTGAACAGAGACTAAAAATGCTTCCACTGTGTTGACAAACTAATGACGATACCATCAACATTGCTAAGTGACCTTAAAACTCCCAATGTTTCAAACCAAAGACATACACCATGCAAGTTAAACCGGGTAGCATTGGCAGAGTCATGTCAGTCAAACTGTTTTCCCTGATTTGTGAACTTTCTAATAATATTAAATGACAGTGTCAGAATTGCCAGAGTTGTAAAATTGTCTTTGTACAGTTCAGTCAAACTGCTTGCTCCGACACAAACGTTAGCATGGTGAGCTGCTAAAAGTGTTTGTTTGTACCTGGATGGTGTCATGTCATCTCAGTGTTTGGGCAATATGACAACGTTGTCCGTCATACCGTTTATACCTTGCTAGCTTTCCCTTCTGTCCAACCATATCTCTCAGTGCATTTGGCCATTGTGGCCAATGTTGCAAATAAATGAGCAGGACTGCTTTATGCCAGTGTTGTATTTTTAGGTGATTTTAGCATGTATGTGATAAAGCTTCTTGGTTTTTCCTGTATTTCATTTACTGGATTAATATGTAAAAGATATTCTTGTTTTATCCATATAACAATATTGCAATATAAAATGGCATTCAGTGGTAGTTTATCCGTATCTCCCACTCCTACCTGGGTATTAAAGTTACCGTCAGAGTTTGACTGTGAGAAGAAAATGGGGATTTCTCAACTTGTTGAGGTGTGTTGAATTTTGCTTGTAGAAATACATTTAGGATTGTCAGAATCATGTGTTTCCCTTTTAATGCTTTTCAAGGCTTACATGAACATTTGTGCTATTGCCATTGATGCACTTAGTGTTTTGTTGCTGTTTCCATTGGGCAGTCATGTCCAGTAATGGCTGCACATTAAAAATGGAGAGCAAAAAGCAGCGGCAGTAGAGTTGTGATGAGTTCAGGCTCACGGTGAAGCTGCGGTACAGCAGCCATGTTCTGGAATGGGGCAATCCTCCGATACAAAAGAGGCATCAGTCAATCAATTGTGGTCTCGATTATCATAGTTAAGTGATTTTTATCAGTGTCCTATTGGTTCAGTGACAGGATATGCAATTATGCAGCGACATCTCAGGACATGGGCTCAAGTTGTTTTTGGATGACACTTTTCACATCTGCGTGTGTGAAAAGGCTTATAGGTTGGTGCATGCTCTGTGTGTGACCGCTAACTTTCTCCGTCCCTTTGCATGATGTGTGTGGTGTGTGTGCCCTAACCCCTGAGCAGGACAGCACTGATGCATTTGGAGACAGCTGGAGAGGGCCCTACCAACCAGGTACTGCAAATTCACAAGTCCATTGCCAGTGCTAAGTCCATTGCTATTTATGTCTTTTTATTTTGCTGTTATTTTGCTGCTGGATTGGTTAATTGATTTTGTGCTTTTGTTTCTACTCTAGTCATGTATTTATTATGAATACATATAACTGTTTAAAAATAGGAAAAAGTAGCAGAAGTAACACACTGCATGTGCAGTGGGTATTCAAGAGTTTCAGAAAGGAAATTTGTGTTTGGGGTTGTTTCCTTGGATGTTATGAAAATGCATTTCCTGCTGTTTAATTCCCTGTCATATTTTCTCTTACAATAGACACTGCAGATGGACAAACTACCTCACGGCAGCCCCCACCATTTACATTACCCAGAACCTTAGACCAAATGTCCTCATCCACCTCCCCTTCCCAAAGCCCTTCCTCTGGCCAGCCCCAGACTCTGGATTGCTCTCAATCTGCCCCGGTCGCCATGGAGCAGGCCTCAACAGCACCAGGGCTATGCCAGGACCCACATGGCCTCCAGGAGCTTCCTCTGCCTTCATCTCCAGCAGAGGATGCAGGTTCAACACCTCATCAGGTCCACCCTTGCCCTCTGCCTGTCCATAGCAACTCCAAAGTGCCCCCAGTACCCAGTCCCGCAACAGACGTCCTCAGTACATGTACCCCTTCTGCAGACATGACTACAGTAAACCAGCCTGGAGCCGCAGAGGGGGATGCTGAATCAGATGAGGTGGTGAGCAGCTCCGTGCTCCCCCATCCAGAGGAACTTTCCCCCATTCAACCGATGGAGCAGGAGGCAGCTGAATCTGACACAGCTGACGCCACTGAAGCCCGTCCGAGTGCTTCTATTCAATCCGACTTGGTTGAAATGGAGTCCCCCACTGCCTCCCAGGGTGAGGTGTCCTCTGAGAGGGACCAGCCTGAAGGAGAGCACGGCTCCAGCTCCGACAGCATCCCCTCGCTGGCGGCTGCTCTGATGGAGCTTCACGAGCTGCTGGTGTCCAACAACCGCGCTCAGAACCAAAACTGCAGCACCTCCTGCTCCCCGTCACATCTGTTCAAACAGGAAACAGACGACGTGGTCCCCGAGCCACGCACCCCGACACCCGAAAACACCCAGCCCATCCTCTCTACTGCCAACACAGCCGGTGCAGAACCAAGCGATGCCAAAGCCAACCATGCTGCTGCTGTTGTGTCTGATGAGGGACCATATAAGTGTCTCACGCCTGACCTCCCTGACCAGGATGAGCATCTGGCCGGAGATTCAGCAGAGACCGTGGAGGGACAAGGACCACCGCAGCGTCCAGACAGCACCGGGGAGAGGAGGGCAGATAGATGCGGGCAAGATGAAACCAATAACATCAGCATTTGTCAGCCTGAGCCGGAGGTTCCTCCTGATACTGTAGGGGACCTGGAGTTCAGGGAACCTCCCGAGGGGCAGCATGGGAGAGGGGTTGCAGATGGACGAGCCTCTGGCACCAACACCCCAGACACTCTTGGCCTCCAGACTGAGCACACTTTTCTCAGCCCTCTGTCTATGGCAGTGGGCTCCCCTGAGGAAGTCTCTAGCACCTCCTGCACCTCTTCCCCTCCTCTTGCTCAGGCTCCCCAGCTTACATCTCCATCTCCTCATCTCCTTCCTCCGCATCCCTTTATAGAACAATTTCCAGCTGAGCACATCCAGAGAATCCAGGCAGCAGGGTTTTCTGCCATGGAGGCTGCAGAGGCACTGGAAAGAGCCCACGGGGTTGTAGAGCTAGCTCTGCTGGCACTACTAGCCCGCAGTATCACTGTGCCCACCTAGACTCATAACTAGTCCTACGAGTCCCCCACCTCCCAACTCATCTGTCTTATTTATACCTTGTTACTGATCCAGATGTCTCGGTCCCTCCTTAACAAGGGAGCACGTATAAACACAGGGAAACTCTTGGTTTGTCGTCCAGAATATCCAAGAACAAACAGGACAACTGGTAATACTTTTCTGGATATTGCAGATATGTGAGGTGTGTTTGCATGCAGATGTTTGGGTGCCCGCCCATTTCATTGGTTTTTAGAGATTTGGTATGGTAGATTGATTTTTCTTCTTGTTTTGTCGTCCAACATTGACGCATTATGGATTGCTCAATGTATGATCGAACCATTAACCATTATTACCCTTTGATATGTCATAAAAGTACCGTTGTTTAAGTTGTGGAGCATCAATAAAAAAAAGTCTCAAAATGGATTGAGCGATACTCCTGCTCCCCGTGCCAGAATAACTCAATGTGGTGAGTTTCATATCATTCAGCATCCATACGGATATTGGAAGCAATCTGCTGATAATTAAAGCAACATGTTGATTTTACTAGCCCCTTCAATTTACAAGTCAGAAACCAAAGATGGCAAAACTACATCGTGGGAACTGCTGCAGTTAAGAAGGGTTGATCATTTTTGACAAAGTTTACTAATAATTTCTGCAGATAAGTTGAAACCCCCAAATACATGCCAGTTACCACAGTGAAATATCAAGTGAGTCACATACGACATATGATCCATAGATGGCATTTTTTGGTTCAGTGTGTGAATTACGGAAGGTATCTTGTACTGTATGTATCATTCTCCACCGTGAGAGCTTTGCCATGTGTAAATTACAAAACAGTTTGTAGATCCTGATCAGTAAGTCCTGTAACCTTGTGTCAAATCATCATAGTGCGTTTGTGTCTTTAAAAAGCACCCATTTTAATTTTTTTTAAATCTGTTAGAATATGGACATTCAAGTTTTGTCAGTTATCATATACATCATATATCAAGTATTTTAATGGCTTTGTTTGAGTCACATACCAACAATGTTCAGGCAGATTGAATTATCTACTTTTATCTTGTATGGAATTTTAAATTGCAAATAAAATGGAACTAGTGTTTGTACACTGTGTGAATTTATTTTCTCACGTCCTTTAAATAATTGCAGTTATGGCTGTATTATCCAATCCAATCAAATGTTTTCTGTATATACAGTAGCAGGTAAAGTTCAGAAATGACTTATTAAACCTGTGGATGTGAGCCAGCTAGTGTTCCCATTCCACACCACATGCTAACTTTACAAAAAAATCAGTGCCTTCAGCTGTTTTATGAAACAGGAAATGCTACAATACATACACCAATGCATGTCAAACTGCAGCTTTCTAATGTCACTACTAGGTGTTCAGAGCTTACAAATCCATCCATCCTCCGACATTCTTTTTTCAACTGTGAGAGGCTCCTCCAGTTCCTTTGTGCAATGCATTGTGGGAATGTGTTTTTTGAATAAACTTTAATTTGCCACCATTCCAATGTGGACACACTACTCAAAACCTGCTAATGATTTGGGAAGCAACGAACTAACTGTTCATTATCAACTAATCTGCAAGTCATTTTCTTGATTAATCATTTGGTCTGAAAAATAGTGAAACAGTGTAAAAACCAGAACTATATTATATTTACCACCATACAAGACTGAAAACCAGCAAGCTGCCATTTGAATTTATAATTTGAAACTGGGACACAGCTGGAGTCTCTAGAGGCTTGAAAAAGAGCCACACCTGGTTCCAGTTTTTGTGATTGCTGCTTAGTTCAGACTGCATTCAACTGAGATCGTTTAATCAAAGTGGTTCCGGGGCTTCAGCAGATAAATACGTGCACCCTGGCCTGAGTTTTAAAGTAAGGATCCTTGGTGGCAGCTTTGGGTGAGAGAACAGTTCCGGACTAAAGCGCTATGGCTCAGTTTGACTGCAGAGATGAAAACAGCCACTGTTTAAGCAGTAGCATTGTCGCTAATATACCCTCCTGCTTTGAAAAAAGTCATCCAGCAAATATTTTGATATCACAAATCATGAAGACAAGAGAGCGGATTCCTTCAGGGTTTTCTCTAGAAACCGGTGGTGGACAAGACACTGGAGGCCTGCAGGGGACTTCAGGTGACTCTCTGAACCAGCTCGAGGGTTGCAAGTAAGGACCACATGGTGCATCTGGAAAACTTCAGTAAATTGTATCTAGGATTATGACAAAGTGATCTTATATATTTTTTTTTAGTCCTCCAGACATGTCTGCAGCCTTCAAGTCAATGGCCTTAATGCTCACATGGGACTTGAAAAAAATTAACTGTGCACCTGTGCATGAACTGCTCTCAGTACCTATACTTGAGGACAGCCCAACTTTGCCTCCCTTAGCTGACCAGGATAAAACGACAGAAAGGTAAGAGGCTAAAAGTCTTTATACTTACTGTAATTTATCTAACTAACGAGTGTCTGCTCAATAAACCCAGGGCAGCAGGTCCAGCTAAGGGGCCGAGTGGACCTTTCCGGTCAAAGTACATTTGTTTTTGTAAGTTACCTTTCTCCTTGAGCTTGTTGCCAGTCATTGAATAGTGTAACATCATATCAATGCATGTCTTACTTTTGCTCTGCAGCCCCACTATATCAAGACTACTGTCTACAGGCGGTGAAAGATGACCTGCACAGACTGAAAGACAGTTCTGTGGCTGAACTGATAACGCCCCAGTATGTGCAGCGTCTGCAGTCTCACTGCTATACTCGGGTTTCGTCTCCTCAATTAAGCCCTCGTGAAGCGACTCCATCCCCACCTCCCCACCCAATCAGGGTGACGCCACGCACCCTTTGGCAAGATCTAGATGAGGTGAAGGCGTCTGGCCTGCTCAGCAGCTTGACCACCAGAGAGCTTCGCCTTCAGGAGGTGTTAAAAGCTCTTCTTCTTTACACAATCATCAACACCGTATTCTAGAGCAGCATCTAATATTGAACCAAGTGACATTAAAATCTTAAACATTTTCATGGGATTTGCTGACCATAAGAAACAGAAACATCAGTCTCATCCCTTAACTGTTTATAATGCTCTTTAACTTTAAGGCTTATTGTGACGGTGAGAGTTTAGGAAAAAGACTTAATTCTTGATCGCTTGTTTTCTTCCCTTCTGAAGTCGATGTTTGAGTTGATCGGCTCTGAAGCGTCTTACCTAAGGAGCCTCGGAGTTGCTGTTGAACATTTCTATGCGTCGACGCCACTGAAACGGACTCTGTCTCAAAGGGAGCATCACATTTTGTTCTCCAACATTCGCCACTTGATGGCAGCCAGTCAGAAGTGAGAGCTCCCCTAAATAAATAATTTGAACTGGTTGTGTTGGCTTATGCTGAGCTGGCGTCTCCTGTAGGTTTCTGATGGATCTGGAAATTCGCCTGGGGGAGTGCGCGTTAATCTCTCAGGTTGGAGACGTTGTACTCCAGCACTGCCCAGAGTTTCACAGCCTCTATGTGCCATATGTGACTAACATGAAGTACCAAGAGACCCTTGTCACCCAGCTGCTGTAAGTTTTCAGTTCTGAAGTTGGTGGCGCTCCAACTCTTCATTAGACCTTTTCAATCACATCTCTCCTTTTTTTTTTTTTTTTTTTTTTTTTGTTCAAGGCAGCAGAACAGAAACTTTCTATCTTCAGTCAAGAAGCTTGAGAGTGACCCAGTGTGTCAAAGACAAAGCCTCAAGTCATTCCTGGTCCTTCCCTTCCAGAGAATTACTCGTATTAAACTCATCCTAGAGGTAGGCATCTGATTTGAATATGCTCCTGTCCTACTATATACAGTATATAGATTCCTAACTTTGCATGACAAGTTTCAGAAGTCAACTATGGTTTCTGTTTGGTTTCCCTTTGTTTCAGAGCATCCTGAAACTGACGGACCCAGGCTCCCACTCAATTTTAAATCTTGAAAGGGCAATAGAAGCCATCCATGAGGTAAAACTCTCACTCTTGTGTGTTCAGGTAAGTACATTCATGCTGAGACGAACTGAACAGGGTTGTGAGCAAGTTATTGGAAGGGAGTATTGTAGTGTGAGTAGCTTTTAAAGAAGAAAACTGGGCATACAAATGGCTTAGAAAGTAAACTCTGAATGTGTTTATTTTAGATTTTTTTTTTAAATGTATCACCATGTCTAAACAGATAGTGATGGAGTGTGACAAGAGGGTTCGGAATTTGAAACAAATTGAGGAGCTGCTCTGCCTGAAAATGCTGCTGGATTTTGGTAAAGTTAAGGTGAAGTTTCTCTCCTCTCACTAAGATTTCTAACAGTCTTTATGACTCGATTCTGTTATGTAACTGCAGATGGGAATATATTCTGACTGACCGCCTTTTCCTCCATGCAGTCGTTTCCTCTGGTCGTAAGTGGGCGTTTTCTGGTGCACCAGGGTGCCATGAGACAGCTGACTGTGGAGGCAGCTCACAGCTCAAGACTGTCATTCATCAGCGTCTACCTCCACCTCTTCAACGACCTTTTGATCATATCCTCGAAAAAGTATTTGACAAACTCATTCTTGCCAAAATTGTTGCAATTGACCCTTCGCTAAGCCACGCCCCGAATACAAAGCTGACCAATCACAGCGCAGTATAGGACTCCCTCTAACTGAGGTCCGACACTTTCATGGATGCGCACCATTCACTCTAATGCAAAAGGAGTCGTTTTCTAGAGATAATTTACACACACTTTTTTTCGCTGTATTTCTCTAAGATGTGGTCAAACACTGTTCCTGGGGCACTTGTTACAGTCGCTACCCAGAGAGGTTGATAGAAGTGTGATTTTTTTTTTTTTTTTTTTTAATTCTCTTTCCAAAACCTAAAATTCAGCAATTTCGGCTGTGGGTTGTTCCTAATGTAATGTTAGCTGTGTTTCCTACTGAAATATAACTTAATAAAGCCCTACTGTTCTGCTTTTAATGAATAGAGGCCTACCTAGCTTTACAGGAACACTGATCCTTCATATCGTTGTCTTTTGTCTCCATCGTCGGGATACGGTGGTTCACTTGTACTGTGTGATTGGTAGACTTTAGCTTCTATCTTTTGGGGGGGCGGTTCAACGTCCTTTTGAGTCAGTTTGACAGCCTGAAGACAACCTTCAAATGTATAATGCAGCTGAAACTGTCTGCTTTCTGAGATCGCTTTTTCCAACAAATCTGACAATATTTCTCCGGGGAGTGCAGCAATAGACGGTGGCAGCGCTGACAGCTTGTCGGACTTGGCGAAGGGTCAGTTAATAAGTAAAATCATGATCGCCTCAGCTTATCGACTCATTTGTCTGTGTCAGGGATCAGAGGTTCACAGTTGTGGATCATGCTGAATTCCCCGCACATGTGCACCTGGGGCATCTGAAGACTGAGGCCCTAGGTCTCCCTCCAGACTCCTTCCTGTTACACCTCTCTCGAAGTCAAACCAGACAACCGACCGCCATGATACTTGTTACACACACCAGGTATGAGTGGACATCTCTGTAGTAATACGTCTCTTAGCAGCATGTCATCCATCTGATTCCTGTCTTTTACTGTAGGTCAGATAAAGAGGCATGGATGAAGGCACTGTCCTCCAAACAGTGATGGAAACATGGTTCTTTCATTTTTAGATCTCCTACATCAAACTTCGGTGCTATTTTACTTTCACCAAAAATATATTGCTTGTTCACGCTTAAGATTTCTTAACTTGCACTTACACATGTTTTTGACAATGGCACTCTAGAGTACAACATGAAGCATTTAAATATGCACTGAATGTATCACAACTGACTTGTTTTTATTGGGAATAGGGTTTTTTGTATTTTACAGGCATCTTTTAGATTTCTAATGAGACTTTCTGACCTTTATCAGATCAAAAATGACAATGAATAAAGATGTAACAATACTTATCAGCCCGAGGTCTTAATGTGAAATGATGACAAAATATTGAAGACAATACCTGTAAGCGAATGTTTTGAGTATTGGTTTTTCTGAGATACTAGATATAATTAACCCATGAGAAATTTTGGAAAAGGGAGTGTCCCAAACAGGTCATTGATGATGCAAAGTGAGGAGGTATTGGGGTGGACTGCAAATTATGTACTTAACTACAGGCACTCAATAGCATTAAGAACAAGCCTCTGCATTCAACTAACACAATACTTACAATCACCAGTATTGATTTTATTGACACCATACTCATTTAACTGAATAGAAGTAGTAAATAATAAAAATATATCTATACACGATTGTGTACATAGTGGGCAACGGCACTCGTTGGTCAATTCATCCAGCAAACACTCAAAATACAGAATACTTTGGACCATGAAAAGCTAGGTAGACCAGTACCAGACAAATCCTGATTTCGCATCCTGGCGATGCTACTGTACAACACCTTGCTGACAAAAGATGGGAGGGTTTAAGAGACTTCAGAATAATCAATCTTGACCGCAGTGGTTCTCGCATTAGAAGGCATGCTCCCCTTTTTGTGTTTGGTTTTTTTTTTTTTTTTTTTGGTTTTCTTTTCTTCCCCCTTCAACAGCTGAGGCAGGAATCTGAAGCTCTCCCAGATCAGCTACTAACTACAATCCCTCACAGGCAGACACCCAGGGACTGACCTTACCTGGAGTCATGTTCACCTCAACTACCTCTTAATCATGTTCATGTATTAAAGTAGAGTCACTGTCTCCTGCTGTGAATGGTGGCGGACGGATCCGGCTGTAACACAGTCCTGATGCCACAGGTTCTCTGCCAGGCAGTTAAGAAGGGGAGCTACGTCACCAAGCCCATCACTGACCTCCCCGCCCATACGCAGCACCGGCAAGCTCCACATCTCCTGGAAGTCCCTCACGTCTCTCTCTGCCACGTCACAGTGCATGAAAAGGTCAAATCTGAAGCAAACATTAAGGACAAGTGTCCTTAGCCAAAGTTAGTCATACGCTCATGTGTATTGAATTAACTGATGACAAAAACTTTAACAAATCAAAGCTAAATATTTTTCTTATCTTATGGCATAACATAGCATGTGTGAAGTGTTTGAGTGCCATATCCCATTTCACATCCAGCTGAGTGGCTCAGTATGTATGTAAATACCAGAGATTTATGTATGTTGAGTTTTGGGATTTAGGCTAAGCCCTCGACTGAAACTGGAAGTCAACGTGCAAGTTTTAAAACAAACGCAAAAGGATACTTGGTGCCAACAACCAATTTCACAACTTGACCCACAGATGTCCCGCTCCATTTGTTGATTTGACTGGACAGATCATCAAAGGATGTCCTGTCGGTGAAAGAGAACAGGAACAGGACAGCGTCCACTTGCTCCTTACAGGACTGGAGGACAGGGAACGGTAATTTGACAAAACATCTGGTGTGATTGTGTAAAGGGCATATATTTTTAAAAAAATCTAAAACAATGTGAGTGTAGTCCTTCAGTGTGAAAATACTTTAGATTTTATACATACTGGGAGCAAATGGTCAAATCTACGCAATGCATTCTCTCCACAGTCCCACAGCTGCAGACGGAAGAAAAGCACCCTGCCGCCTTCTGTCAGCTTCACTGGCCAATACACCACTGTCGTCTCAATACCTTAAACAACAAAAGATAATAGGTTTTTAATTGTACAAACTACTTTCAAAACAACAGAATCTATTCAAAGTCAGAAAATGGTCAGTTTTGCACAATTACCTCACTTCTCTGGTTTATAATCTACAGTTCTGGTATGTTGCCTCTACTAGAGAAACCCTACAAGCTAATTAATATAAGGAGAAGCTGTTTCGACTGTTGCTATCAGCCTAACATGCCTCGTCAGTGTAGAGCAGCGACGTACCTGTGGTTTCATAGTGCATGTGAGGAATATTCCTGCCTGCAAGACGTGCAGCAAGAGCGGTTTTCCCGACCCCACTCTTGCCAGAGATGAAGATCTTATAATGAACTGTGTCCACAGCTACATGTGGGGGCATCACAGGAGACTCCAACAGACCTGGTTAAACAAGTTTTTAGACCATGTTATGTCATTTTATTTGTTTTGTTTTGTGATTTGCATCTTGATTGTCCAGTAAAAAAAATTGAGTCAGGCTTGTAACATGCAACTGTCTTTTAACATTGTTCTGTTTCCCCTTTACACCCAACGAAGGTTAAAATGAAGGGCAACTGGACTTGGTTGAAGCTACTGGAAAACGTTTCGTCCCTTATCCAAAGGACTTCTTCAGTTCCTCAGTCCTTTGGATAAGGGACGAAACGTCTTCCAGTAGCTTCAACCAAGTCCAGTTGCCCTTCATTTTAACCTTCGTTGGATAACTATGACCTGGATGACTGAGAATCTTCATAGACATCTTCCCCTTTACACAAACTCAAACACAAGTCATAATACAATATTTGCATAGCCTCATAAAGGTGTTTACAAATGCTACCAAGACTCTACATCTATAGGCTATAATGACAAAGCCAACGTCATTTCTTTCTGCTCCACAAACAATATCCCGTCCTGGGAGGTTGACTTTAAATAAATATTTTTTTAATAATGTACATTTATGACGGCCATTGTAGATAAGTAAATAAAAAATACATCTGGAGGAGGGGGTAATATTCCGAGAGAAAAAAATAATTCCCGAATATCCGAGATTAAAGTCGTACATTTACAAGAAAACGTGAAAGTCATTGATAATACAAGGAAAGAGCGGTGCAGACATAAGAGGTGGAGCTTTCAGACAGTCGGGCAAGATATGAGGGACTGCAAGAAAGCCACTCGAAAGCATGTGTCGCATCTTAGTCATTTATGTCTGCAGATCTTCCAATTTATTTTGCTTTTGGGTTTTGAACAGAAGGCAATCTCTCGTGGTTGGTAAAAGTAGTTTATATATGACGGTTGTTGTTATTAACATGTGCATATCCTGCTAATAATAGAGCACAGAGCCAAGAGGACAAGCACGTCTGATAAGTAGAATTTCCCGAGATTGTTGTCGCAAATGTATTACTTTAATCTCAGAAATAGATGATTTCCCCCCCACCCCGGAATATTACCCCCCTCCTCGTAATTATTTTTAAAACCTACTAATACGCCTTTGTTTATTAATAATTTGAAATGCACATTTATCTCTCAGCCACTTTCTGTGACTGCTTCTCACTGAAAGCTCAAATTATGATCAAATGTCTCCGGTTAAGTCTGTAAAGTGGTAGCATGTGAACGTTTCTTAATCACAAACATTGACTATAGTACAAATTTAGTGAAATACTATGCTGTATAATCAAAGCATTGTATAATTCAACCAAAATGGTACGGTTTATTTATCATACCGAAGTTTTTGCGTCTTTTCTTGTGTAGAATTTTGCTGAAATATTCTTTGCTGTCTTTGCATCGATGCCAGTCAGCTACTACGATTGATCCGGGAGGAGGAACTTGTGCCATGTTGTTATCGCTGGTCATTCTGCTCAGCTAGCTAGTACTTAACTCTCTCAGCACAGTAAGGTAGACCGTAGAACCTACGGAAGGCGGCAACACACTGTTCAAACTATTGCAAACAGTGTTTTCTAACAATAAAGCTCTTTAATTATAACAACTGCAGTCAGAGAATGTCATTTAAGCCTCAAAGTGCAGCCACAATGGATGTATAAAGCCACCTGATAGAAACTTCCGTAAACTAAATCGTGTCTTGACGACCGCCATAGATACGTGACGTCACTTCTTCTTCTGGTTTCATTGTCGGTTTGCAAACTAGCTCAGACGTGCAGTACCGCCACCCACTACGACTCGAGACCAAAGAATGGCCGGTGTTGAACAATGAAAAAAGATAAATATGCATACTATTATAACAAATAACAGAAATTTGTATCAGTTGTTAAACAACACAAACCTATAAATCATGGATACAGATTTACAAAATCTGAGAGTTCCAAATTGAAAGACATGACATAAAATACAGTGGTGGGAAAAGTATTCAGATCCTTTGCTGAAGTAAAAGTACACAGTGAAAATTCTCCACTACAATTAAAAGTAGTTTCGAAACTTTACTTAACCATAAAAGTATTTATTATCAGCAAAATGTATTTAAAGTATGAAAAGTAAAAGTAACATGAGCTCAGAAAAACAACCCTGTTTCAAATTTTGTGACGATGCATTTTCCAGCTAATCCAAGTAGGGGGCCAGGGGGATAAATACTTTAGTTTAAGAAGTAGGAGAATTTTCTCAGCCCGTAAAGATCACTTCATCCTTCAGTTTATGAAACTCTCACCAAATCAGGAGATATATGGTTATTACAGGACAAGAAGGGTGTTGAAAAGTAACTAGTAGGCAAATGTAGTGAAGGAAAAAGTTTATTTTTCTCTGAGATGAATGGGAGTAAAAGTTTAGGATAGCCCAGGATAGCCCAGGCGATTTTGTTGCCATCCAGTGTGAACTCGCTGCTGCGCCAGTTGTTGCATATTTCCCTGATAAGATGTGGTGGATCCCACGGGCAGAACACTCTGATATCATCTACTTCGAAGTATGGCTAACGGTTACCAGCACCCTGGTCACAGCTTAAGAATAAGCACTCCATCCCAGCCTTCTTTAGCTCACAAACTGCCTTAAACAGCAATGCCTGAAGCTGGGTATGCGGTATGGGCCCATTAGTGAAGCAGTATCCGAAGAGTTGCTTCCACTCCTCGAGCAGCCCACTTACCATGAATGCAGATGCATGGCAGGCAACATGTGAAGTACGCTGGTCTTTACCAAAATCTTCAAAACCTTTAATCCTCTCAGCAAACTCATCATAGTGGACTGCCTGTTTAACAGACATTTCATCAGTAATGATGGCACATACCTTATCCACGGTCTCTGTGGTCTCCATAGCCTTCTTCATGTTGGCAAGAATATTTTGGTTGAAGACAGGTTTTAAATCAATGGACTTCAGAAGCTTCTGCACTGTGCGGACAGATGGCATAGAAAACACTTCGAACAGTAGCCTGTAACACTTTGGACTGGTATGTAGCATAGCCAAGAAGAAAGCTTTGTCCTTGAGCCTTGCGCTGAACCATACGCATCTGTGTACCCACAAAAGCATAGGCTTTGGCTGGTAAGAGTTTCTTCAACTGTTTCATCACTGACTCCTTATTAACACCTGCCTTGCTCGTCTTCTTTAGCCGGTTCAGATCTCTCATTTTTGCCTTCAGCTTGCACACCTGTGATGTCAGACTCCTGATCTTCATCTTCAGGGCACTTTCCTTGGCAGCAGCTTCGAGGTCTGTTGTCAATGACGTTGGTGGCAACAGTGGTGTCAGAGCCACTGAAGATCCTCCAAGGGCAGCATCAGGTGCAGTTGTATCTGTCTCTGAACCAATAGGTTGTTGAACACGGACTGCAGTGGATGAGCCTGCATTTGAAAGGTGAACAACATGACTGCATGTAAAACAAAAAATCACTTTAGATCAAAACAACAAGGTATTACTATGACTTAACACTATGACATGGAATGTGATAGTGACTAAGCTTCCACTCTAAAAGGGATGCTGTGAATGACATCTCAAAGTCTCCCTGTATTTATACACTGAGAATCTTACGTTTCTATGGTGGTAACTCTTGACACTTCTTTGGTGGCTTTCTCCATAACTCCATATTCAGTGGGGGTGGTGGGTTCAGGGCATTAGCACTCCATTTCAATCCTGCATGGCTACAAGATCAATAGAAAATAGATAAATATATTGCCCCAAAATCAAGTATTAATTAATGTTTATGATTTTTCTGAAAGCAATTTCAATTTGACCGTGATATTTTTTCAGTAAATACATACAAATTAAATGGTCTCTTGAACTGGCTGTGGTGAAAATGTGCACTGCACACCCTGAAGCTGTTATGGAGCCACAACCAGCTCATCTCCATCAAAGATGCATTCCTGAGATTCTACACCCATTTGGCACACCTGTAAAGATAGTATGCCTTTGTTTGTTCATTCATTTAACTTGTTGGCTACATGACAATTTCAATATTAAAATGAACAAGAATGGCTGAGAGGAATAGGAAGAAACAAACCAAAGGGTAGGGCTACATTCATTTTAAAACAGGAAGGGAAAGTTCAGCCTAAAGGCAGACTATTTAGTGTCAAGCTTTTTTCAAGGCTGATTTTGGATCAAGTCATCTTTTAGCATTCAAAAAAATTCACAAATTCAATAATGGCATTGCAGGTAGGTATAAAGGTGATACCTCTACAAACTACATAGTTGGTCTGGTGCAAAGGTCAGTTTAAGGTGGTAATGATTAGATGAACTCTAGAACTATTATTATAACTTTTAAAGAGGTTTCTAACTTGCTCTAATAAATCTAACCAGGATTTTCTTCACAGGGGATGGGGAAGTTAAAAGATTTCATTAGATTTCTCACTACAAGTAAGTAAGACAGGTAAGAATAAAGTGAACTGGGTTATTCTATAATAGACAAGTTTCCCAGCCGGTATTTGTAAGTAAAGACAGTATAGTCTATTAGGTTCAGCAGTAGGCCTTATATTTTTTAACATAAGCAATGTTGACTCTACAGAATGTGGGGGAGCGGATGCTTTGATGTTTAGATTGTTATCATTATTCACCACCTTATAACAAAGTGGTGTGTCCTCCTGCCATAGTCTTAGCTTTACAGACAAAAATGATTTATCTCTGAAATAATTTTATT